TGCATTCCAATATTAGATTTTTAATAGTAGGTAAACTATACAAAAAAAACATAAGTAACTAGTTTATAACTTAGGTCTTAGGTACTATCTACCTAGAATCTTCCATGATTCAAATAATAAAAAATGATATACAATTAATAATATGTACTATAATATAGTAATATAATAATATTTATTGTTTATTTTACAATTTTTTTCTTGATTGAATATCAGCAAAATGATCTATAATATCTTCATATTTAATTTGTTTTGTTATTTCTGATTCAATATTTAATATTGCATGTGAGTTTAATCTCTCTTTCGAAATTGTTGACCTTAGGTATGTTTTTATTCAGCGTAAAGTTGAAAATGACCGTTCAGCGGTACAGTTTGAACCGGGAAGGGAGTACATAAAAACATGTGTAAAGCAAAGTAATACTAACACACGGGTAAATGTTTTCTGATCCTTCTATTTTTAACATAGAACTCATATCAATTATAGTTGATGGAGAATTTTTCATACTTTGAATATAACTTTGAAAATGAACACATTCGTTAATAAATGTTATATCCAAATCTTTTGTATACATTGAGTACAAATGTTCAGCTAAAACACGTACTTCTGATGGTTTTATCTTTGTGAGTCTTAAAAAAAAACTATTCTTTGTTATGACATTATCGTAAGCTTTCGACTTGTTAATTCTTCTATTATAGAATCACAAATCACTAAATATGTGTTTACTTTGAATTCCAAACTATGGTTTCTACTTTCTCACTATGCTCTTCTCTTCTAAGTTTAAACATGGTATTTACTTCGTTTGTTTTTCTCATAACTTCATTAGGTTTTTCCTTCTTTTTTTTGCCTCCTTACCATTACATACACCACTAGCTTTGACTCTTTTTAGCTCCATTAAAGTATAATTTCAACTAAAAAATTGTTATGACACAATTAAACTTATCTAGTCTTACTTATTAATTATTATTTACCCACTTGCCACTATGGCTAAATTACTGCATTCAATTCATATGTATAATGTATAAATATATAAACATATAAATATATCCAATAATTGTATGCAGATTTGCAATGTAATTTAAGTGAACCTAAACTGTGTAATTACTAATTGTAGTGTACCTACCTTAACTGGCACAACCTTACAATATCAATTATAAAGTTGAAAGTTTTAATATTATTATAAATAATATAATAATAATAATAATATTTTATTTTATATAACAATTCAAAAAAAAGTAAACTCTTATTTCTATTATATTAGTTCACTTATTGAGATTTAAATTATGTAGGTACGGAGTACGTAGTCACTGACATATAGAGGCAAGTTGTATAATATGAAATGACACAAATGTATTTTAGTAGCCAGTAAATAAGTACAATCGATAATCCTGATCTGCCAATACGGGCCAACGCAGTTATTCTATACGTCTAGTTTTACAGTTTACTAGTAAAAATAAACCCACTAATATTTAATAATGTTAGGTACAAACCTACTTAGTTAATAACGTTTATTTCTCTTTATTTAAAATGATAAAATATAGGTAAAAAAAAATGTATGCATATGTGAATTTAAAAAATAAATAATAATAAAATATATAATTTTTTAGAAATCTTTCTCTTTACGAAAAAAATTAATTTTTTGTTTATTTTATCTGAGATGATTTTGCCGCCCCCAAAGTGTGCCGCCCCCGGGCAATTGCCCACCGGTGCCCCCCCTTAGGGCTCTTTCACACGAAGCCACCAGAGCGGCGCCACCATGGTCGCGCCACCACAAGATATTAATAGTTAAATGAAGGTTTTCACACATGGTGGCGCCACCAAGTCGGCCGCGCTACTCGTAGAAGTTTGCGCGACCAGACTATCTGAACGCGCGACCAAAATAGAAGCGTCACCAATTAAATGTATATTGTTGTAATGTAAAAACACAATTATTTTCATTCGACTCACTGCCAGTGGCGCGTGTTGACGTGGTTTTTGACGCTGTCGATATTTTTAAGATAGATTAGAACATGGATAGTCACTTTGACACCGAAAAGTTTATAATAGAAATTGAAAATCGTCCAGCAATATGGAACTCGGCCTGCAGCGAGTATTCAATTCGCGATGTAAAAAGAAAATGTTGGGAAGAATTGACTGATATATTTTCCAATGAAGATAATACAGTCCAAGAGAAAAAAGAAATTGGTGAGTTAAAAAAAATAATAGTGAAAGTAATAAAAATAAATAATAATAAAAGTAAGTATGTGTCTATAGCAGGGTTGGTACGTATTATATATACATGGAATTATTATTATTATTATTATTATAGTAATTATATTATATTTTATTATTTTATATTTTAGTAGTTATATTATATTTTATGAGAGCAAAAATAGAAATAACAATAAAACTAACTTTTCTACATGTATAAAAATGTATAATACATCATCCTGTACCTATACAAATTTTAAACATAAATTTACCCAACCCTGTTCTATAGTACATATTTACCATATTTATTTCAATAAATAAATAATAATTACTATTTAGCTAAAATATCCAAAATGTATATTTATTATACATAATATATTACCTATATAATATTACGTGTACTTATTATACTTGTATAAATAATATCCTTGTATTATTTCTGAATCATATGAATTAAACTTTATTTAAAAATTTTTATTTACAATAAGAAGCATTTAAATATTGAATTTATATTGAATTTATATTAAAAATATATTGTACCTATTTAATATATAATATATTTATATCTCTATTTTAGATAATTAGCTTATTAAAATTTAATTATAAAATCTTAAATTTTACTGTACTGCCATTCTACTTCACCATCAGTTACAAAATAATTTGCGTACTTATCCCTCACAGTTTGTGCAGTTTGTGATCCTCTTGTCATATTTGTGTTTTCTATATTTTCCAATCCTTGTACTGTTAAAGTATCATCATAACGATATCCATCTCTTGCCCTTACAAAGTTGTGTAAAATACAACAAGATTTGATTATATTTTGAGCCAAATCAAGTTTAACGTTTAATGGTCGATGAAAAATCCTCCATTTATTGGAAAGGATTCCAAATGTACACTCTATATATCTTCGAGCTCTCGACAGTCGATAGTTGAAAATTTTTTTTGTCACGGTTAAATTTTTTCCATTATATTTTCCGATGAACCAAATGCTTCGTCGCCTACTATTACATGTGGCATTGGTTCTGCATTTAATGTTGAAATTGGTTTTGGATCAGGAATATTCAAAGCATTCTTCATCATTTTTTTATAAAACATAGATTCTTTAAAAATTGAAGAATCACTACTCTTTCCATAAGCACCTACATCTATTGCTACAAATGAGTAGTTACTATCACAAACACCAATCAATACAATAGAAAAATAATGCTTGTAATTGAAATACATTGAACCAGTGTCAGTAGGCTTTATTACTCTGATATGCTTACCATCAACGGCGCCTATACAATTCGGAAAATTTGCAAATGTTTCAAATTTATTTGAAATTTCGAGCCACATTTGTGTTGAGGGTTGAGGCATAAATTCATCTTTTAATCTATTCCATATAGCCTCACAAACTTGAGCAACAAATCCAGAAATAGTAGAAATTCCAAGACGATATTCATGGTGTAATTCCGTAAAAGAACATCCACTGGCAAGATATCTGCGTAAAATTAAAACTAAATTAAATATACTTATCTAGTTGGTACTTTTGAGGGTTCAAAAGTTCAAAAATTCTTAAGTTTATACTAAAATTAAAATGTTGAATACATTTGTATAAAAATCCTTGTAATATCTCTCCGTTCAGAATATAACATGCATTAGGTAATATATACTTTTATATAAAATTCTTTTTTAGGAATAAATTTACAACGAAAATGGAAAAGTCTACGTGATTGTTTTTCTAGAGAGTTGGCCAGAGTTAAAAAACTTAAATCTGGGTCTGAAACTTCTAGAAAAAATCCTTATGTCTACTACAATCAGTTATTGTTCTTATTACCTATTATTCAAAATAAACCTACCGAAACAAATATAACAGCAGATGGTGATGAAAGTGGAGATGATTTAGGCGGTTCTTTTAATAGAAATGTATTGAATAATGAACCTAGTTCTAAGAAAAAAAATTCTAATCCAAGAACTTCAGTTGAAAACGAAATAATTAGTGCATTACACAAGAGTGTTGAACTTCGTGAAGAACAAGCAAAACACTGCGAGGAAGACGCTGATAGATTGTTTTTGTTGTCTTTATTAAAGGATTTGAAACAAATACCCGAGCCTTTACGTTTTTCAGTTAAAATGGATTTAATGAAAGTAATAAATAATGCTCAAATGAATACGTATCCAGCTTCTCTAAATTTGTCTCATCCTCAACGACCTCAACAATATAATCTCAGCAGTCAAAATGTAATGTCTCATCCTCAACAGTATAATTTCAGCGGTCAAAATGTTATATCTTCTCCTCAGCAATTTAATCTCAGCGGTCAAAATGTAATATCTTCTCCTCAGCAATATAATCTCAGCAGTCAAAATATAATGTCTCACATTAATCAAGATCCATGTACAAGTCGTTCTATACATCAAACAAACCAACTATATTCAGATCCAAATTATCAAAGAGTTTTACAAAATCAGTTCAATAGTCAAATAAGACCTTCATCTGCAACACAGCATAATTCAAGTACTTCAACTCCACTGGCTTCACCAAACTACAATTCAACTGAAAATTCTACAGACTCATATATTGAGACAGATTTATTCAACCCAAACTTAACCAAATAGTAAAACTATGTCATCTAATTTTAAACCAGACAGTGTATATTTTTTTTTTATTTTAATATTTTTCATTTGTAATGGGTATTTTTATAATAATGTACTATATTTGGCATTAATCTTTCTCAAATAAAAATAAATCAGTAAGATCAATATTAGATGTCATAGTTTATTTATGGAGCTTGTACGTATATATAAGTATTTACTATTTATTAACCAAAATTATACTTTACCTTAAAGTTACGACTAATTTTTCGACAGGTGAAATACATTCTCTCATATTTGTTTGTTGACCCGTTAAATCTTCTCGAAGTTGTTCCATTAGTTCGTCAAAAGAATTAATAGACATTCTTAAATAATTAAAAAATTTGTCTTCATATTTTCTTAAATCATTATAAAATAAATTAAATAGACCTTTAGTAGAACGGTCAGACAATAGTGGATGAACCCAAAACTTTCGATTTTTTTTTCGTCTGCGTACAACACGACTGTACAGATATGCTACACATGCTAGCTCTTCGACTTCCATTTTGGAACTGAACTAGGAGCTACTATGTAGTTCAGTATGTATTTTTGTTTGGTAATTTGTATACTATAGTGAAAACAACCTGCATCAAAACATACGAAACACAGAAGCGCTTCTGGAAGCATGAATAGTGGCGGTGCTTTTCTGGTGGCGCTGCCATGGTGGCGCGCTCTGGTGGCTTCGTGTGAAAGAGCCCTTAAAACCGGCCCTGGGCGGCGCGCGGCGGCCGAAGGGACGACGCCAGGGCGAAAATTAACCTAACGCTGTGGTCCGCTGGCTTTCGCCTTTTCGCCCCGCGGTAATCCCAAGTCGGCCGCTTCGGTCGTCCCCACCGGTTCCGCAACACAGAATCTCACTTCGCTCGCTCCGCGTCTCGGTCTTCGCCGTCCGTCGGCCGAGTCGTCACGCCGTCGACCGTCGGTACGCGCAAGACATCGCGCACTAGCAGCCGTCCGTCGCCTTCAACCGTGGTCGCTCCCGTGGCCGTCTCGGTCTGGCCTCGCCGGCTGGGCAAGGTCGTCAAGCGTCCTAGCAAACGCGCCAGCAACACTCGTCAACCCGCGGGACAGGTCGGAGAACGTGCAGAGGTGACCAGTGGCCAGCAACACTGCATTTCTGCACCAATCGCCATCTCGCATCCTCCCCCCCTTGTTTATTGTGTCTATCCTGTCCGTCGTAGTATTTTTTTTTTCTTTAAACTTAAGTGCTTTCAAAATTCTAAATTGTTAAATTGTTGTTCACACATTTAAATTTCGGTTTTTTTTTCTAATTTGCGGCCTTTTCTACTATAATAAACATATTTTGTGAACACAAGAAAATATTGTTTCTTTTTTTCGTTGTGTTGAGTGTATAATCAACTTTTACAGATTTAACGACTAAAAATCGTTGAAATATATATTTTAAATAAAAAACCTCATTGGTCGATTATACAGAGTATAATCCAAAAGTAGTATCCAAGAGTATGTTCCAAGAAAAATTCAAGCCATCAAGCACTAAAGGCGACGAATGACTGCGGAATAAATCATAAAATAACGCATTACACCGGCGGATACGATATGGACGGTTATATAAACCATACAAGAATTGTAAACAATAATAATGTGTATTGTGTAGAACGCTTAATATAGTCAAATTGACTCAAATAGTTGATACAAAATAATATTTAAAAAAAATCAAAATTGTATTTTACATTGGTAAAATAATAATATAATACTGCATGTCCAAAAATAATATTGTTTGAAAACATTTCGGTTTAGCTGGTTTGAACCATTAAACCCCCGTGCATGTACCGATACCATATTTTCTACATAATTATTGACTTGAGTCGTAATATCCTAATCCGAACAAAACCTGATACCTATCTTTTGTAGTAGGTATAGGAAATCACTTTTTGAAGGTATGTGAGTTTTGACAGTATTGTTGTACAATAATATATTAACTATAGGCATAACCACACATTAGATTTTTCACTGAAATAGGTACATAATTATACATACTACACAGGTAGGTAGCAAATATATATTTTTAAGTTAGATCCGAATATAGAATATAAATCAATATTAGTTATTGCTCATATATCAATATTGATAGCACGTCCTTGAATTTTAAAATAACTTTTGGTTAAATATACAATTCCAAAAACAGTGTTTAAACTTGAATATTATGTTATATTTTATAGAAAAAAATAAAAACGTGTAAACTATATTATTAAGTAGGTATTATGCACTTTAATATTATATGGCCAATGTTTTTTTTTTCATGTGACATATCGACTGTCTTTTTATTATGATTGTATGTTACAAGTTCTTTCCGTTCGCTACATATCAGTATATTTTATATCCTGCGTAGGATTATTCTATTCTGTGGTAGGACCTCAATACACCAACTTAATATTGCAAATTGTAAATAAAATGTTAGAAAATTGTTACGTATTTTCATCTTGTATCAACTATAAATAAAAGATTTAAATAAAATGTATTTACATGTTATTGTCATAGATGCATACCTATATGTTTGAAAATCAATTAGGTCGAATTTGATAAAATAACATTTTAAAAAAAGGTGGGCAAGTGGGTGTCGCTCTGCTGTACAGTAGGTTACAAGTGGGTCACTGTATAATGGATGATATTAAATTTGAATTCAACGATATAATATCATTGTATAAGAAAAACGATTCTGAGCGGAGACGGTATGTCAGTCTATGTATAAGACATATTATATACATGTATATGGTATTAAACAAAAAATTGACCTATAATAGGTACCTATAATAAATTCCAAATTAATCATATCACAATATCCATTAGGTACTGGTAACGCGTTATACATCAACAAAAACCGTGATACTATCATAGATATATAATAGTACACTTTAGAGGTTTCAAGTACCCACGGGCCACGAATAATATTAATCAATCACAACAAAATAACTAAAATAGTTATTCTAGGTTTTTTAATATGTATAATTTCGTCCAAATTTGAATTTAAAATGTCTGTAAAAAATAACTGTGTTCATATATTTTTTAGATTTTTTGGTACCTATTTATTAAATAGATAGCGTCATAAAATACAAGGAACATAAGCATGTACAAAATAGGGCAAAAATTGAAGTAAAAAAAACTATCAATAAAATGAAAGAAAATGCCATCACTACAATTATGCCTACCCGAAGTTTATTAGCAGAGACATCTTCAAAGGTAATTAAATATTATAGTTTTAATATAGTGTAGAGGACGCAACACCTGCAATTTTTTTATCGTTATATAGGTAATCACCATATTTGTTTAAAAATATGTAAAAATAAACTGGCTTTTTATAGAAATTTTAAAATTAAAAATATTTTTTTACTATTTTAAAATCACTAATTTTTTTCGAACATAATATTTCAAAAAACTTACAACTTTAATACTTTAAATATATAACAGTTTAACAGTTTAACAGTTTAACAGTTTTATTAAATTGTTTCGTGCGAGTAGTTTCATCGCTAATCTTTTATTGTTTGTTTTCGTATTTTTCACGTTATCAATCGAGACGATACTAAATATTTCAATAATTTTGATTATAGTCTATTTGTATTATGAATATTATAATAATATATTATTATATTATTTTAGTTACCATCCGAAGTGGCAGGTCAAATGCCGAATCCAAAATGTTTAAAAAGAACAATACAACGGGTTAGGAACATTTCTGAAGCCGTTCTTGCAAATCCACAAACATTAAATTTTGAAATTCCTGATCAATTCAGATTAACTTTAGACGGAGACAATTTTTTGTTGTACGACAGTGGTTATAGTGACATATATGAAGACAGGATTTTATTATTTTCGACTGAGAGAAATTTAAATTTATTAAAAGATTCAGAACATTGGTTTTCAGATGGAACATTTTCATCCTGTCCGAATTTATTTTACCAATTTTATACCATTCATTCAGTATTTCATAGTGATATTATACCTTTAGTATACGTTTTATTACCGGACAAAAAAGAAATAACATATATAAAATTATTTCAAGCATTAAAATCATTGAAGCCTTATTTATGTCCAAAATCTTTTATGGTAGACTTTGAAAAAGCAGTGATGAATGCAATTAAAAACGAATTTCCCCATACGAAGATTCACGGATGTTTCTTTCACTTAAGTCAAGCGGTTTGGAGACAAATACAACACCATGGTCTTGCAAAACAATACAGTGACGATGTAAAATTTTCTTTAGAAGTACGAAAATTAGCTGCACTTGCATTTGTACCCGTCGATAAAGTGATAGAATCTTTTGAATTATTATTAGAAAGCACATATTATATTGAAAATGAACAAATGTTATCACCACTAATAACATATTTTGAAGGCACGTGGATTGGCATTTAGGATAGGAGAGGTAATCGTCGACCTCCATTATTTTCCATTGAAATCTGGAACTGTTATGATAGGTTACAAGAAAGTTTACCCAGGACTAACAATAAAATAGAGGGCTGGCATAATGGGTTTTCAGCAATGATAAGTCATACACGACCAATTATTTGGAAATTTATTGAGTCAATAAAAAAAGAAGAAAGTTTAAATAAAATGATAATAGAACAAATAATTGCTGGGCATGTACCATGTAAAAAAAAAAATATAATGATTCATCTATTAGATTAATGCAGATAATATGTAAAAATGTTAATAATAATCCAATATGCGAGTTTTTGAAAGGTATTGCTCATAATTTTAATTTTTATAAATAGTAAATTATTTTTATTTTTGTGCATTTTTTAAATATTTTATTTAGATTATTATTATTATTATTATTTTTTTTTTATTGAACATTATAGCTTCGACAGCATAAGATTTTAAGATTTATACTAATACATATATATTTTTGAGGTGAAAAAATACAAATATACATATATAACAATAAGCTAAAATGACTGATATGTAAAATTATTATTATTATTACTTTGCTTGAATTTAATTTTACATTTTATAAGTACAAATATATATAACAATAAGCTAAAATGACTGATATGTAAAATTATTATTATTATTAAGAATATACCTATATGCGATAAAATGACGCGCGACCAAATGTAGCATGCGTCGATATTACACGCGACGAAATGTCGTATGCGTCCAATTGTCTTGCGACCAATTGACCGCGACGAATTGACGTGCGACAAAATTACCGCGACGAAATGACATATATCCGTTTCAAGTACCCACGAATAATATTAATCAATCACAACAAAATAACTAAAATAGTTATTCTAGGTTTTTTAATATGTAATTTCGTCCAAATTTGAATTTAAAATGTCTGTAAAAAATAACTGTGTTCATATATTTTTTAGATTTTTTGGTTACAGAATGAACTATTTACGAGAACCTTTGTGTTGAATTTGCAATCCTTAGCTATAAAAACAGAACATTTTATAATTTATTAATTACAATGATTGATAATTTTCGAGATTTTAATAAATTTTGTCAAAATTTGATCTTTAAATGCTTATAAAAAAAAACTGTGCC